GCAGAGTTTGCTTACAATAACAAGATACATTCTTCTACAAAAAAAAACACCTTTCTTTTATAATTATGGTTATCATCTACAATTTGATACTTTTGACTTTTTAAAAGTTGATAATCTTGTGGCAAAAGATTTGGCAATTCATTTGTCAGAGCTACATGCAATGATGAAGGTACAGTTAAAAGAAGCTCAAGAACAACAAAAGGTCAATGCGGATGTCTATCGAAAGGAACAACCACCATTCCATATGGGTGACGAGATAGGATTACTTTGTTACAATATCAAGACTACTCGTCCTTGTGACAAGTTGGACTATTGAATGCTTGGACCATTTTCTATTTTTACACAAAACAATCTAGTTGCATAGTGTTTACCTCTATCGAAGTCAATAAAAATCCATCAAATATTCCACATGTCTCTTCTTGAACCATATAAGACAGTGGATATACGAAGAAGAAGATAAGCTCCACCTCCTTTTATAGAAGTGAATAATAATGAAGAGTTCAATGTAGAAGAAGTCTTAGTTTCAAGGCGGTGCCAAAATAAATTGAAATATCTTATCCATTGGCGTAGATATGATATTAGTGAATATACATGGGAGTCAATAAAGAATCTTACAAATGCAACAAAGGCGCTGAAGGCTTTTCTTTGATGACATTCATCAAAATCAAGATAAAAATCTTCTTTATAAAAGAAACAAGATCTAAGCAAGATAACATTCTACTTTCAATCCTTATTTGTAGCTTCTTTGTAGTTGTAACGTTGAGAAGATGGAGAACCAATAACCAGTAGATTCGACTCAAGAGCCTTTGTTTGCTGACCTGTCAAACGAGACATTTCGATTGTCACAACCTTCAAGACGACTCAATCAAGATGAAGAACTTAAAGAATGACATATTCTTCTTATAATAGATGGCGAGATACAACGTGTTTGGTATCACAACCTTGGAAGGAACTCCCGATGTTTGGTGATTTTACTTGAGGTAGGAAAAACTCCTGACAGTGTTCTAAATGTTTTATTCGAAAGAAGTTATGAAGGCCTCAACAACAATCAAATAATTGGGTGGTCTTTCTGCCTTGCTATAGGATACTATCAATGGTTGAGAGGCCCTATCAATCAACTTCAAAGAAAAGAAAGATCAGAGTATGTGGCGAATTCAATTTGTTACATCATAGATTTCTTCAAGATATGATGACTGCTCGTCGTGGAACTTGTCTTTGGAAGAAGGGGTAATGTCACAGACATACGCATGTAAGCCAATAATTACATATATGAATAAATAGGAATAAGTAAAAGTATGTAAAAATAAGTTAATTCTATAATATTTACTTTTATAGCTTTTTAGAAGCTTTATAGACATTGCTTTGATTTTATAGGTGTTTTTAATCGACTTTTTGGATTAGTAACGTGGTCAACAAGTTGGCCATGTACCACACATGTTATTAGTTTGAAGACCAAACTAATTATTTGGCCCACACATAGAAAAACTTGGCTTATAAGTCAAGGCATGTATCCTACAAAGTCAACACATATTGGAGGTCCTATAGAACATCACCACGTAGCCCTTAGTTAGATAGTATATATAGAAACAAGAGCTAAGCCTTCTTCACTCTTATCAACTCCTTTCTTTCTTCAAGTCTAGTTTTAACGGCCTCTTGTTTTCTTGTCTTCTGGCAATAGCCATTCCAGTTTCTTTCTTAATATACATATTGAGTTATTTCTATTTCGTCATCTTTCTTTGAGAAAATTTTCATTTGTTTATTTGTTTTTATCAAGTTCTTGTCCTTGACAATATTTGAGATTATATTCAATTTTTTTTAAATTCATTTAAAAACATATGATCAAATTTTAAAAATTCTATTTAGGAATAATAGCTTTGATTTAAGAATATTATGAACTTTTGATTTTTTTCACTTATCGCAAATAATATAAGATCTCTAATATAATTTATGAATAAAAACAACCGTTTAAAATAATTTAATAAAAAATAAAATTGGAGTAGACAATATGGTTGATGTTTTTATAAAATTCAAACAATCTAATACAATCTCGGCTCTTGCATATTTATCTCATCATTACAAAACTATTAACCTAACCACTATATTTTTACATTAAATAATAATAAGCTATAATTTATTTTTTTGTTACTTCTAAAAACCGAAAAACTTACATAGCTTTACAATGTCATAACAAAAAATCATATAATCCTATGATTTCAAAGTGATAATACTCTAAAAAGAAATAATGTAATTATTCTTATGATTAGTTACTTCTTTATTTAAAATTTTATAATCCAATATGTATAATTTTTTAAACTCACTCAATATAATTGGTAAGTAAAAATACATAATTCTTTTAATCTTTTCTCATTAAAGTATGTTTGTAAATTCTATTAAAATTAATACCATATATTTTAATGTTCGTATTCAGTTAATAATTTGTACATTTATCAAATATTACAAGTTTTTGCAATATGTGTAAATTATAATTGGTGGATTTTAAAATTTATTTGTCTTTTTAATATAATTTAAGTAAATATAAAAATTATTGATTCAAAGTTTAAACATATGAAATTTTATACATAATATCCGAACCTTTTTTTATTTAAAAGATATCAAATCTTTAAGTAAAAAAATGAATACATAGTTGTTGTAGTCCTCTCAAAGTTTTTTCATTAATATATTTATCAAAAATTAGTAAAGTATAAGTACATCTTATTGCAAAAAATACTTATATTAAAGTATTAACATTTATGCTTTGTATAATTTTTTTTCTTTTAGTATTTTTTATAACTCTAATAATATTGTAGTACAATTTTAAAGTATGTTTTTAAAGAACTTTGTTTATTTAAGTTGATCAAACAATCTTCAAGTTAATGATTGAAAATCATATGTTTATAAAATTACATGGCTTACTAATATTGACATGCATTGGTAGTAATATATATCCTTTACTGTTTACATTTTTAATATTTAGAATCGGAGCTTATTCTGATAAATTTTCTAGTTTAATAAAAACTTTGATCAAGTTTTTATTTATTTATCTTTTTCAAAAAATCATTTTTTTCAAAAAAATATTCAAATATAGTAAGATGAGTTTTTTATTCTTTTTATTTTGATTTTGCAATAAATATTTCGACATATTAATAACATACTTGTTCTTTTTGTTTATTTGTTTGTTTTTTTTAATAAGTTGGATTAATCATGTTAAAATCTCTTTTGAAATAAATATATATATATATATATATATATATATATGTATTTTTATCTCATTTTTTTATTTATCATTTAATATAAATTTAGTTTTAAAAACGAATCATATTCTTAATTTATATATATATATATATATATATATTTGTTTATATACACATAAGTGGTGTGTAATCACCATATATACACCACTTATGTATGGTGTATAAGAACCATGTGGTGCCTATTGTAAATAGTTACTACTATATATAGACTGTTTTATTACAACTTATATTGTATATTGGACTTTTGAATATATATATATATATATATACGTATATATCAATACAATGTTATTCAATATAATTTAACTTATCATAATACTCATTTATGTTTAAGGATTTATTTATTTATTTATATTTTTAGTTATTAGTAATTTGATGTGGTATTAACAATTTATACTAATTTCGATCAATTGGTATTAGATAATACTAATCTTGTATGTAGATATTTCCAATACAAGGTATTTTCTATATAAAAATATAACATGCAGTGTTTCAATAATTTCTCATTGTTTTCTTTTAGTAAAAGTAATTATTTGTCACATAGAATACCTTTTTGATAAATTTGGTCAAACTGTTTCGTGTTTCATATTGTAGAAAAAATATTCATTATTTTTGAAATTAGTCTTTAATTTTGTTAATGATTTTATATATTTTCATTTAATAATTTATGAAAAAGGTTTAAATTTATCCTATATATATATATATATATATATACAAATTTATAATTTTTTATGTCTTGATCTTTTTATGTCAATTTTAGAGAATTATCAATAAATGTTATGATTTCTATTTTTAAATTATTATAAACCAAATCAGAATTTTAAAAAAATAGTGTAAAAATTATTCATTTTATTATTTCATTTTCGTTAGTTAAAAACCATTTTTACATTTTACTTGAAATAATTTACAAGAATATTATTTAAGATGCAATTTTAGAAGGAATAATACTTTTTATAGAAAGTCCTTATCATTTTTATTTTATTTTATTTTATTTTCCTTCAATTAAAGTTCTATAATTTGCTAAGTATAAATTATTATGATAAGAATTGACAATGAATAGCAAAAATAATCTGGTTTCTACTTTTCTTATTGAAGTGCTGATGAAAAATTAATTAACTGTTTTTGTAACTTATAAAGGATATATTTAGGATTTTTAATCTCACATCAGCAAGTCAAACAGTACACATTTAACAGTGAGAATTGACCTCTGCATAGTAATATCGGTTATATTTTGATAAAAGCATAAACTTTATACAATTGTCTTAAAATATCCGTCTACAAGTCACACATTTAAAACTTGATATTCCTTTGAAACATAATTTTGGAAATAAATGAAATAGGTATATAAATATAAAAAATGACATGCATCACAGTTTTATCTTTTCTTTTTCATTTTTTTACACTTTTTTTCAATGATTTTCACAAACCATGAATTAAACTTGCAAAGAACATGATCATTGTTCTATTAAGAACTGAAAAGCCTATTATTTAAAAAATGTATCCATTTTTGTGTTTGGTATTAATTATTCTTTTATTTCTTTATATAACATCACTCTCCAAGATTTTAATTGTTGTCACTTGCATCAATTCAAGCTTGAATGTAATGCAAAATATAATAAGCAAAAAAAAAAGGTCCACTGGACTTGAGTGACCGGCTACTGGGGGTGGATCCGGTCAAGGGAAACCGGGTCGACCGGGAACCAGGGCAGTGTCTTCTCTCTTTCTTTCTACTCACCGACTGACTCCAATTCTTTTCTTCATTCTGATGCGTGCGGAGGCCTCGTTACGTCACATAGGTGAAGTTTTGTCACATTTCCTTTGGATTACACAGAGTTGGGTTCTGTTTTGTTTTGTTATTTTGGTTTGGGTGCAACTACGGAGTGAGGTGGGATGTTTGTTGTAAATTTGGTGAGTTTTAGGGTTTAGGGTTTAGAGGGTTACACCTAGGTGTTGTGGAGAATTTTGGAGGTTGTGGGTCATGGGGAAATCGTCGAAGGACAAGCGGGATATCTATTACCGCAAGGCGAAGGAGGAGGGATGGAGAGCGCGGTCGGCATTTAAGCTGCTTCAAATTGATGAAGAATTCGGCATTCTAGAGGGTGCAAAGCGTGTGGTGGATCTCTGTGCGGCTCCTGGAAGTTGGTCGCAAGTTTTGAGCAGGAAGTTGTACCAGCCTGCCGTGGCGGCAGGTGAGCCTCATCCTCTCATCGTTGCCATAGACCTACAGCCGATGGCTCCCATAGATGGTGTCTTGCAAATTCAAGGGGACATTACGAGCGCCAAAACTGCGGAGCTTGTTATCGGGCATTTCGACGGAGGTAAGGCTGACCTCGTGGTTTGTGACGGAGCGCCGGATGTGACTGGGCTGCACGACATGGACGAATTTGTGCAGTCGCAGCTTATTCTTGCGGCCTTGACGATTGTGACGCATGTGCTTCGACCCGGGGGTAATTTCGTTGCCAAAATTTTCAGAGGGAAGGATATAAGTCTCCTGTATACGCAATTGAAAATTTTCTTTCCGGTTGTGACATGTGCGAAACCCAAGAGTAGTAGAAACTCCAGCATTGAAGCGTTTGTGGTTTGCGAGGGCTACAATCCGCCCGAGCAATTTGATTACAAGGATTTGTATAGGCTTTTAGAGAGAGCAAGCAGTAGGTCATCTGATATGGACTGTTCAAGTGCATGGCTTGAGGGTCCTAGTAAACTCATCGTCCCCTTTTTAGCGTGTGGGGATTTGAGTGGTTACGATGCTGATCAGTCTTACCCACTTGATAGACCGCAAAGCTTAGCACCTGTGCAGCCTCCGATTGCGCCTCCATATCGTACTGCTATGGAACTTGAAGGCCAATCACATAAAGCTAATTGAGTTTGGAATGTAGGGCTTTGTTTCGGGGTTACTCCCATCAGGAAATTCAAATCTTTGAAGATTCATTACTCAAAATTTCCGGCCACTGCTCAAATCAGTAGTAGTGTATATAGAGTGTGAACATCATAGACATTCTGATGCTATCATCCATCAAAGCCCATATTTCGATGTCTGATTCCGAACCTATTAAAGCAATAGGCTCTGTTTATGAGATTCATTACATAGTCAAATTGTTGAGGCATCTAATATTTTGGTGGAGAGGTAAAGCTTGAAAGTGTTGCTCTCCAATTGCAGCTCAAAGATTGTGTTGTATCTCATTTCTCGGAAGCAATCTTTTACACACCCAATTCGTCATGTGACTCAACGTTGTTTTGTATAATCTTGCGGTCCCACAAGTCATTGTTAACGCTTTGAGGTGTATTTCAGTGAGCTCCTTCATTTATCCCAATGATTCGACAAGCACCGGTGGTGACTTTGTTAACTGGATTCTCGAAGCTGCAAGTTCTGTGGGATGGAAGATGAACATGGTGCTTCACATTCAGATCGTGAGCAAAAGAAAGTGAGGAACAGGGTAAGACTTTGCCCTCTACAGGTCTCGAACCTGTGACCTTCGCGTTATTAGCACGACGCTCTAACCAGCTGAGCTAAGAAGGCAGATGCTCGATCAGGAAACGTGTTTCTATTTATTATCTTATTAATGTGTGAAACTTCACACAATTACTTCTGTTTCGTGGCATTGGCAGAATGTTTGGATCGTACCTCTTGAACGAAGAATGTGCATGGTGCTACGATTTTGACCTAGAAGCTAAGAAAAGACGAGTAATGGGAGAGCTTCATTAAAAGAATGCAATTGTATCTGACCTCACTGTGTATAATATCTTCTCATCAGTACTTTCATTCTTAAGTTTAGATCAAACTGGGTTCGAAGTGCCGACATTGTTACTGACCTCTTTGGTACTCATCGGAAAAAAAACATCCCCGACTACGAGCACAACCAGGCAGACTTACTTGTGCGGTAAACACTTAGTTGTGCTACAGTGTGGGTTCCGAGAGCTGATGAGCAACAAATAGTAACCCTTCACCAGGTTCGTTGATTCTCGATGGGAAACTGCAGTGCCCAGTTTGACTATTTCTTCGGTTTGATTGGTGTATATTGGTCATGGTGTAGTATAAGTCTGATTACGAATCTAGACCTAACTTCACCGTTTCGTGGCTATTGCAGTGTCTGGACGAACCTTGTACTTGCCAAGAGCATCTCTTAAATCTTACTGTTGGTTAAATATATTCCTGTTTTGTCGGCAGGAGGTGCTGAACTGGGATTTCGCCACAGCCGAACATGGGTGGAATCATTTGACTCCTGTGGTTTTTTGTAAGTGGGTGAAGACCCATTTTCATGTGAGTGTTGAAATGATTGAGTCAAAAGAATAAAGTTTTAATTGGGGTTAAATAAGTCCTGTACAGTATCGAGATGCGTGTGATAGATTTCACGTTTTACTACTCTTAATAATGTATACACATAACTTTTTTCGTACACAGTAAAACCACTCTCAAGTTGTGGTATAACTATTTTTATTTATTATTATTGTTATGATTATTATTATTTTGTTAGTTCTGTATTATACTTGATGCACACTTGTGACTTCTATGTTAGTACAAACAAATTTAAAAAGAAAAATGTATGCACATGTCTATGTTTGTATATATATTTGTAAAATTTACGCTAAGAAAAATCCTTAAACGAGACTGAAATTTTGAATGGTTTAACTATATACTAAAAAATGAACGCTTTAATATGATTAGTAATAACAAATTTAATGTTACCCAAGTCACAAATATTCACAAAGATGAAGACATACACACACACACACACACACACACATACATATATATATATATATATATATTCGATTTAAGAATGGCTATACTAATAAACTACTGAAGTAATTTTACAAATAAATATATAATAATTTTTTTTAGATATTATATTTTGAAAAAAACCAAAAATTTTCTAATGTTTCTCTTTCAATAGAATAATATCGCATGTCATTTTTAATAGCATCAAATAAAAAATATAAATATATAAAAACATGATTTATTTGAAGTAACAGCAAAAGGTCTTTTAAGGAAGAAGGACATATCTTAAAATGAAGAAGAAGAAGTGCTCAAAATTCTAAAGATTAAAAAGAAAAAATTAAAAATTAAAATATTTATTTGCACGAATTATCATAAAATGCCTATGTCAATATAGATAAAATCAAGATCACATTGCTATTAGAGTGGCATTGCACAATTACAAGTATAATCAGTTTTTAATAGCCATGAATAAATTTAGTGAGGAAATGCACCTACTTTAGTTTTACAGTACCAAAGATGATTATTAGAAGATTTCAGGGAAGTTCTAAAGTAAGTATATGTGGTAAACAAATGAGATATTAGAACTATATATTGTTGGTGAGTTGTTAGTTAAAAAAATATCATTTTAAGCCTTAAAACTTAAATAGAATTATGTACATGACCTTAAGTAGAATAGCCAATGGTATTAGATAATTAGAGTTTTATAATATCTTCAAATATAAATAATGAGATTAATTTTATTACAAAGACTAAATTAGTAGATTTAGTTGTATATTGTAGTAACTAAAATAATTTAGTAGTATTAGAAAAATTCTAATATACATACATAGGTATGTTTACATATAAAATATCATTAGAGTATAATTATAAGTGTATTTAATCTAAAAAATTATATGTAAATCAAAATATATTAGAAAACCGTTTTGAACTGAAAAACTATTGGCTTTTAAAACAATTATTTCCTGAATTTCTGCACTTTGTATCATTTGGTAACTTCTATAAATTTTGCTATTTATTCTTTTATATCTATATTTTTTGAATAAAATGATTTCAACTGTTATGTTGAGTAAAAATTATGCATATTAAGTTGATAGTATTATTTTTATTTATTCTCTTTCATAATTACTATATGTATTTGATAAATCTTTAAATTTTTAAAAGAAAAATTTTAATATGTATATTTTCATACATATTTCTAGACATCATGTTAGTTTATTTAATTTTTAGGAAAATATGAATAATATTCAAAATAATATAAAATTATAAAATTTATTAATAAAATTATGTTTTAATTTTTTATAAGACTTTACAAACTACTCAAATATTTTCAACCTTATTTATATTAATTTTTAACAACAATTGCAATATGTTTTTAAAAATTCCAAATTGATTTCAAGTTTTGTTTGGAGTTATAGTTGAGATATAGAAAAAAAAAAAAAAAAAAAAAAAAAATCTATTCCTATATATAAATAAAATAGTAATTAAATCTTATTGTGCTTTTAAATTAAATCAAGAAAAAAATAAAATTCAATAAATTTAATAAATGTTTTAGTGAGTAATTATACTAATTACATGATGCAGTTAAAAAACAATCATTGACTGATATATGAATGGTGCTCAAGTATAAATGCTTCACATAAATTGAGAAAAGACAAACATCACCACAGTATGGCAAAAGACTTGTGATGGATCCATGATTACTCCGGATACAGTGCACAATACGAAGCTCTAACGGAGAAAGTAGAAGATGAAGAAGAAGAAGGAATAACCTCATTCTCTCATTTATTCTTCATTCTTTTACTTCCTTTCTTGCAACCCCGTTTTGTTTATGTTTGAAGGAAGTAACCCAAAGTATGTTCATCCCAAGCCCTTCCAGTCCTCCTCACATTTCCGTGTTCATTGATGAGACCTGAGAGCATCCTTTCCTGCACAGTTCGGGGAATTGTCCAAACAGCCCCGCTCCTTTGAGCGAACCCAGATGAAGAGCATCATCGTTCAGGCAGCGAGCGAGCTGTGTGTGTGAGAGAGAGAGAGAGAGAGAGAGAGAGATGCTTCAAACCCGGTTCAACATGTTGAATCTGATCTGTATTCATTTGTGTGACATGGGTGGGTGCAACATCATCTCTTCTGCACCACTCTGAGACTAGAACCCTGCTGTAGAAGGAAGGTGCACAGAATAATGCTATCACTGGACAGGGTGAACTAATCCCGTGATGCATCGATGTGATATATATAGTTTGCACCCTGCGATTAATCCTCGTTCACGGCGAGAGCTTTGTGCCTGAGATCCTGAGATCACGATAGACTCATTTGATGAGAAGGGTTGAGACTTGACTTGTCTTGACTTGCCTTGCCTTGCAGCACGAATCGACCACTAAATCCTGGAGGCAGATTTGAGTGGTCGCTCTGTCAAGGAGCCTGAATCACTACCTAGTGATGATCAAGGCGGAGGAGAAGGTTAGGAGTGAGGTGACAGTCGGGGATGGAGACGAGAGCAGAAGAAGAAGAAGAAGACTTAGAAGATGATGCTCTCCAGTGAGGGTCCGAAACGCGAGGAGGCCCTGCGCTCAGGCTAAAAAAATTCCACTTCCTCCATTTCCTCTTCAATCGGCGAGGAGCTACCACCGCGTGACTCCGCGCGTTCGTCCGATTCCCGACGCTACCAGAATAGGAATCGTGGCACTCCTGAATCTTTTAGGTGGTGTTGGATTCTCTGCCCAATGCAGCCGTACACTGTCACTCACGCGAACCCATCAGTTTCTAGCATGAACCTCGCTGTGTAGCCAGTCGGCTGGCGCTTCCATTTGGTTTCAAAATAAATAAAAAAGGTATTTAATACAGGTTGGTGTTCTATATATGGTAAAACGGTATGTATTATTAGACAAGCGTGTTGAGGTTTTGTATTTTAGGAGTAGGATCTTGGAAGAGAAAAATAGGTGGTGGAATAGTGAAAATAATTTCATTCACAGGATAGAAGTTTGACTACATTTGTTTTTAATATTACATTCCCTATTTTGAAAATACATTATGTTTGTAGTTTTTTTTGCATGATATTGAAGTTTGCTACCATATGTTATTTTAACAAGTTTGATTGAATACTGTTATTTTATGGTGTGGATTTGCAAAGTGGAGTCTTTTGATCACTTTAAGAGGTTTTATTTGTGTAATATTGTTTGGTGGCTCTAAAACCACAACTACAGCTTTTCCTCTTAAAGTACCTCTTTTTTAAATAATAAAATGACAAGTAAGAATGATAATTTATTATCTATAATATGCTACTATAATATCTAAGAATATTTCTATTACATTTATACAAACATGAATAGATAGATATAAAACATACCCAAAATCCCATGATCTTGAG